AAAAAAAAAAAAAAAAAAAAAGAGGGTTCACAACATGGGCATGGTTACGGTGCCCTTGAAGAGTTGCTAAAATTCTATTATCATAATGCATAAATCAAGTAATAGGGGATTACAACTGAATATGAACATACATACACTGTTGTTGCATTACATATGATTAAGAGGTACAAGTGCGTAGATTTACGTAGAGTTACAAAGTTAATAATAGACATTCATATGATATTGGTGCAATTATATATATATAGAAACAAAGAGGTTTTCACAACATGGGCACGGGTATGGGGCCTTTGAAGAGTTGTTAATATTATATTGTTATACTGCATAAATCAAGTAATAGGGGAATACAACTGAATATGAAAATACATACACTGTTGTTGCAGTACATATGATTAGAAATTCCAGCTGGATGTTCTCGTTGTAGCTCTCTGTCTCAGTCCTTCAGCCATTTTTTAAAAAGTTCAGGAGGTCAACCACGCATTTCTCTTCGCACGATACATAACTGGTAAACTGTCTATTCTAAGTCTTTTAAAGCAGCGAGGCGTGGTGCTTTTTTCTATAACCAACAACTTCCTCTTGTCCTTTCCTGACATGTTTGAGCAGCACAAGACAGTTACGCGATCCATTTCTGTTTTGGAGCCAGAGAGTGCAACATGTTTGTAACTTAACGAGTCGTCTGGTGTAGCACGATAATACAGCCCAGTTTCATCAGCATTGTAGATTTCATCAGCTGAAAAAGTTTCAAGAAGCTCAGGTGGTTTTTCTTATTTCCATTCTTCAGCACCTGCACTCTCAGAACTTTCTTTCTTGCCATGTGCTTTCGTGAATTTTGTCATGTCTAGATTTCCATCAAGACAACCAACTGTCCATAGCTTTAAAGTCATCGTGGCCCAGCTTTTTAGTGAGTTCTTCTGCTTTGTATTTTAACATTATTTATTGAGTGGCTTACTCGCACAGCTTGACCAGTAACAATGGTTAACCATTCTTTAAGGGCCTCATCGACGTCTGGATCCTTTCCTTCATGCTTCCGTTTTTAGGAAGTTTCTCCTCGTCCTTCACATTGTGCCCATTCTTCTTGCAGCTCATTTGCTTGTTTTATCAAGCACGGAATTGTAGTCTTTGCCAATCCGGTAATTTCCACCAACCAACACTGACTAGTGTTTCATATTTGTTGCTTGATTTTATCCAGGAAACCAATTTTTTCAGCTAACGTCCCGTCTCGTAGTGGCATTTTGGCAGGGGAGAAAAGATGCGCGTACAGTTCATTGACCAAAGTGGTCTGAAGAAACCTTGGTGTTTGGGGGTCAAGATGTTGAGGTAAAGAGGGAGATAAAATGCTTGCCATTCAAAGCTTTGTCACTAAAATCACCCCAAAAGGGTGGTGCAATGATAGTTTTCTTGTGTAAACTTTAATCATGGTTGACAGGGAGCCGGACACTCTATTGTTCATTTCCTCGAAAATCAGAGACGCAGTGGTTTTGCTCTTGTCATGCAATTTAAGAAATTCCTGACCTTTGATAAAAGCATTCTCCTGGGGAATTCATCCTTCCATATGACGCAGACCACCTGTACATCCACTGTACGTGGCCAACTTGTGGCTTCCGTTTCTTTTTCATTCTCATGTCTTTTGGTCCAAATAAGCGAATAATATTAGGCTTATGTACATAGGATTTGTTTTGGTTCTTTGGGATTCGGTCCGAAAAAGTGGTTGGTCCGATTATTTGGTGGTCCAATTAACTGGATTCGACTGTGTTGAATTTAAATCACTTTCAAAAGCCTATTACACATATTTTATATAAGTATGTTAAACTGTGTGGCATCATCAATGTGCCTAAAAACATAAATTTTATTTCTAAAATTTTAAATTTACAGAGAAATTTTACCTCAGACTTGTATAACTAAATTCAAGCACCCATTTCTATAGACACTCATCAGAAGTATGCAAAAATAGATTTAAAAAGCAAAAATTAACAATTGGCATGGGGAAGAAAATGCTTCACAGAGGGCAGTGGTATAAAATATACAAGAGCCTTCAAAATTTAGGATTTCACTCAAAAAATTTTTCTTAAACTTTGAATTGTGTGTTCTTAGGGTGTACCACAATTTAAAAATTCTTTTATATACCAACCCTGAAAGGGTTAAATGTTTCTTAGACTAGTCAATACTTAGCTAGTCATAGTATCTTTTAGAGACTAACTTGGTGCTAGTTCATAAAATTTTATTTTGAAATCATTGATTGATTGTTTTAAACTTTGTGATGATTGAAGAATTTTAGTTTTATTATATCATTAGATTGACAAACAAACATTAAGAAACAAAATGCATTGTCACAATGTTTATCTTACTTACATCTCCCTGTCAGGGTTAAAAAGGCAAATATTTTGCAATCTCTGAGAAACCAGAGTTGCCAACTCTCCCGATTTAGGCGGGAGACTCCCGATTTTCGACCAATCTTCCGCCAACCCGATTTACAATATATTTCTCCCGACTTTTTCTTAAAATTTCTCGCGATTTTTATGGAACTTGGCTTAATACTTATATCAAAAAAATATATTTTATATCAAAAAAAAAAAAAAAAAAAAGTGATTTTGGACGCCTGAAAGCAATCGAATTTTCTCTAGATCATATCTAAAACAAAACCTTGCGAATCAGATAACTTCTGCTTTGTGAGTGAGAGCATTATACGTATCCCAGAAATGTCGTTCTCCAGTTTTCCAATGGGCATCGAACTCCACTGCGTGTCAGCTGGCATATATTAGCCAATGAGGACAAGGCAAGCTGTTATTTGGATGTTCTTTAGTTATTTCGTTCAATTTGTCCTGAGTTGTGTGAGTGCACGTGCCTTCGGGAAATAGTTTTAGAAATTATCTTTTGTTATGTCTGCAAGAAAGGTGAAATACTCGTGTAAGTTTCAAAAATCGTACACAGTTGACTTTCCTTCCATTATTTCCTCAAGGAAATGTAATAAATTTGCGATGTGTACCGCCTGTCGTTGCGATTTCTCGATTTCGCAATGTGGAAGGGTGGATGTTCTCAAACATGTGCGAACACAAAAACACAAGGATAACATGAGTTGTTTTTTAAAAAAATGAAAAATTAAATATTTCTTCGGAAACAAAGGACCAAAAAGTTATTAATGCAGAATGTCTGTTCTCTGCCTTTTTACTGGAGCACAACCTGCCACTGAATGCATCGGATCACGCTGCAGCTTTATTTAGAAAAATGTTTCCCGGTAGTGAAATTGCTAAGAAATACTCAAGTGAAAGAACCAAAACAGGCGCAATTGTTAAAGAAATGGGTTTGAAAAATAAATCTTCAGTTATTGATTGCACTAAAACAGCTCCGTTCTGCCTCTCTACGGATGGAAGTAATAATACAGATTCAAAACTGTATCCAATTGTTTCTTTTTTTAATCCAGAGTCTTCAGAAATTGAGTGGAGTTTACTTTCTGTCCTCACTTTAGAAGGACATTTGACAGGCTTTAATATACCACAGCTAATTATTAAACTTTAAAAGAAAATGCAGGCCCTCTGGATAATTGTTTAGCACTTGGTGCCGATAATGCACCAGTATTGGTAGGCTTGAGGACTGGTGTTACAGGCATCTTAAGAAAGGATAATTCAGATTTGCAGATTATGAGGTGCACCTGTCACCTCTTAAATTTAGCAGCTGAAAAAGGGGCAGCTTCTTTACCAGTAAATGTGGATGAACACATTGTTGATATTTATTATTATCTTGAAAGGAGTTCTAAAAGGAAGGAAAAATTTAAACAGTTCCAACAGCTGCATAGCAGCAGTTTACAATTAGAAAACTTGAATGAAGTTATAAAATCAGCTAGGATTGACACCCAGTGGAGTGTAATTGGAAAACTGAAAGGTGCTGATGTAATTTTAAAATATAGTGAACTGTCTAGAATTGTGTTGGCCATCTTGACAGTTCCCCATAGTAATGCAGAGTGTGAGAGGATTTTCAGTGTTGTTGCGTAAATGAGGACTAAATTTAGATCTAATATTAGTGATGACACATTAGAAAAACTTTTATTAGCGAAAGTAGGCCTACGTGGCAATTGCTGTGAACAAAATTAGGAATTTTTTTTTAAAGAAAGCAAAATCTGCCACTGTTTATAACATTTGTACGAAAACTGATTAAAGTGTCTTTTTTTTTTTTTTCTTAAACGATGCAAGTAATAAAAATGTTTTTTTTTTTTTTATTTTTTTTTTTTTTATGTGTAAGCTATTTTTGTGTTGCTTGCATTTAAGAATTAGTTACTATTTAAAGTTAATTCATTATTAAAAACTATATTTTTATCATTTAAAAAGTCTTTTTAACATTGTGAAAAATCTCCTGATTTCTTAAAAAAACTCCTGATTTTTTAGTGTCGTAGGTTGGCAAGTATGATAATATTTTCGCAGGTTTCTGTTTTAAACATGAACTGTTGCTGATAACTCATTTTGTCAACTTAATTTTGGCATTTTTCATTGGTTATTTGTTTCAGTGTGCATAATGACGACCCTCTCCAAAAAAAAGCATGAACTAAGCTTAAACATTTTCAAAATTCATTGTGCTGTTTTCTGTTATATCATGTATACCATTCACTCTATAGGATTTTATGATGGAAGAAATATTTTAAAAAATTACTAAGTTTTATCTCAAGAAAATATTAAAATTTTGTTCTGGAGAAGTTTAGAGGCTCTTGGAATTCTTTCCTTAATTTGTAAACATAAAAAGCATTCCAAAATTTAACAAGCATTTATTTACTTGAATTCCAGCTGTTATTTTATATCTTTTTTTAATCTTAGCTGTTTCCATTTTGTATATCAGAGTTGAAATATAAAACAATATCTGTCTTGGTATATAATCAAATATGATATAACAAAGAAGATTTTCTGTGCATGTAATTTTTTTTTCTCTAATAAAACACATCAACTTATGTATCTTGCATAGCTGTGTCTTAAGCACCAATAATTATACTGAGAAACATTATTCTTTTTTATATTTTTTAGTATATGTTGCCTGTAACCAAATATGATCGGCATGGATACAAACCTCGGCCAAGAGTGTTAGTTGTAACAAAAGAATCATTGTACTTACTGGATGGAAGGAACTTGAAAATAAAACAACAAATATCATTAGATAATCTTAAAGGTAAACAAGTAGAATTTATTTTTTAGCTTCATTCATAGCTAAAAATATTATTTAAAGCAAAAGAAATAATAAAATGAAAAAATACTGATATTTTTGTTTAGTAGTGTAGTAATTAGAATATTCAGCTCGAGTAGGAAAAACTTTATTTACTCTAATAAAGTTTCCAAAAATTTTTTTGTGTGTTTGCACTGAGGGAGAAAAACAATTTATGCAATTAACTAATTGAAAAATTTTCATGTGCTTGATTTTTTAAAATATTTTTCAATAGGTTTATAGTTTTCATTAAAAAATTATTGTTGTAAAAAATTAACTAATGAATTATCATAACCTATCCATCTAGAGGGACAAATATCATCTAAAAAGGAGTTTGTGGATATACTAGTTAGAATAGTTCTTTTAAAAAATAAAAAAATAAAAAATCTTTTTTTTACTGTCATGTTATTAATAATTCTTATTTTAAGTTTGATAATTTCAGTCTTAAAACTATTCATAGAAGTCTAATAATTTTTTATAGGCATATATGTAAGTAATTATGCTGATGGTTTTGCTATTTTGAATCTACTTTGCATGAGTAAAAAAGAGAAGGTAAGCAAACCCAAAGTTGTCTCTGTTAGTAAAATTATTGCAGTGAAACTACTGCTATTAATTGGAGTATACTAAAATATAATTAAATAAGGAAAGAAAAAGCTGATTTTACTCAGTAAGCTGCCCTCATATATAAGATAACACACCATTTTTAAAGGTGCTGTATAAGGGAGAAATTGCATATAAAATAGTCTCCTACACATTGCAAGTGTTAAAGTTGCTGTATAAGAAAGATGATTAAATAGCCTAACTGCTATTTTGAGGTAAAATAGAGAAAATATCTTACAGCAGTAGCGCTTGGTTTTCTCGCAGCTGATTTAAAAAATGGCATTGATTTTCATTTAAGAATTTTTTTTTGAAAGGAGAAGTATTTATTACATTTCTTAGCATTTGTTCTTTATACCTGCAACACAGTTGCCCTGTAAAATTGAATCAAATTGAATTGGAGGACATTTATAGATTTTAATAAGACTAAAAAGTTAACTAAAATCATCTTTTTCTTTCCTTTTCTAAATCTATTAACATATCAAAATTTTTTATTGTTTCAAAACTTGATTATCTCATCATTTTTCAACATTCACTTTTTTAAAATCTGATTCATTAGTCATCAAATTTTGACTTTTGGGATGCTGTTTCAGTAACAAATTAAGAATGAGAAAAGCCCAGATGTCAAGCTGTATAGCTCTTACGTATGCAGAAAATTATATAGAACTGCAGCTCCTTCTCTAATTTATTCCGTTGGCAGAATCCTTTAAGCAAGCTGAGCTCATTGTGAAAATTATCATAAGGTCTTCGAATGAGAGTTAGACTTGATCCACCAAAGAAGTCGAGGTCCACCAAAGAGTTAATTGTAAAGTCGTGCATACAAAATTAGAAATCAAATGCCATAAACAATATTTTTATGAAGTTATTTTTCATGCATTTTGTCAAACTTCTAGTGTTGTCTGTTTAAGATTAATATAGAATTATTTCATTATTAAAGTTTAATAATTTTTATGTAATTTATTCTTAAAATATATATTCAGTATTATTTTAAGTGGAAAAATGCATTATTAAAGCTTAATTATTTTTATGTAACTCATTCTGAAAATATATATTCAATATTGTTTTTATGTGCGAAAATTTTTTTCAATCATTTTATTTTAAACAATGATTGTTAAATTTTTAAAAATATTTCTTTTGTTTAAGGGTGATCTCATAATTGACTGCCAGCAATATATTGTAGAATTTGTAGTCAAATTAGTAATGGCATGCAAGAATAAAGGTCTTCTACGTGTAGTGGATACTGGTTGGTGAGTTCAGAATAGATTGACAATTTAATATTATATTACTTTTAAATTTTTATTTTTAAAATTTATCAGGAATTAATATTTTAAGAAATATATCAAGTAATTGAAGAAATATCTGTTGGCTTCCTTTTCATATTTCTTGACAAGTACCCTTAGTTAAAAGAAAAAAAAAAAAAAAAATTCTGCAAAATAAGGTGAAGAATTTTGTGAAAACAATTTCAGCACTACGGAGTAGGAGTATTTTTTAAAGTTTAACTATTTTACATGATTTCCACAGAGGGGGAAAAAATCCTATTAGTAAGGTGGTATAATATGTTTTAATACATTAAATACAAGAAGTTTTATATCTAAGTTCAGACTTTGCATTATCATTAAAGTGTTTGGATATAAAGGTACAGAATATTTTGCATTATTAAAGCATAATGAATGTTTTACTAATTGAAATTATATTGTATAGGAGAAGGAATTATTTAAAAAGTTCTTTTTAATGCATTTCTTAAACCATTACACGATATGTATATATGTAGTGGGGGAGTTGAAGATGCTAAATAACAATTCCAACGTTGTTTTCCACACCACAGAACATTTAATAAAGATAATCAGAAAAGGTACAAATTAGATTAAATACAAGTGCCGTTTGATACAAAGAGGATTCTGTATAGTTTTACCAGTCTTATCACATAACCGATTAGTGCCTACTCGCACTTGCTGATGTATTAAACAGTTCAATTTATTTACCACCTTTGCGTGGAAAACTACAGTTCCTTATTCTACACCTTCACGTGTAGACATACATCTCACCACCTTCGTGTGGGATAGCAGAAGAGTCTCTGTCATACTCCTCTTTCACCTCGCTGCTGGCGCATCGGTGAGGCCCTCTGGTGGTTGTGTCACACTTACGGATACTACAGCTCGGCCGTCCTGACACTTTTTCAACCACGAAAACACGGATCAGCAACACTGGAACATCAAGACAGCACCTGAAAATAAATTTTAAAAAAACAAAAGAAAAGGGAAAAAAAAACAAAAAGAAAGAAGTGCGGAAGAACCACACATAGTCCTATATAGTAGAAGTCCACGGCTTCATGAGATCATCTGCTGTAGTGGTACATCCAGGACCTTCATGGTGTCCCACTTTTCCACCTGGTAACGATCTTTGCCTTTCCTCGCTGTTACACGATATGGGCCGAAGAACTTTGGCCTTAACTTTAGTCCACCTCCATATTGCGTTCTTGGCAACTAAGTCGTTCACATTGTATACTTGTGCCTCTTTTCTCTTCTTGTTGTATGTTTTTCTATTCTTTTCCTGAATTTTTAGAATGTTTTTCCTTGCTTCCTCTCTCATATCTTCTCGATCTTTCATCATAATATTTCTTTCTTCTTCTTCAAGAATTTCCATAATCTTTAAGTCCTCTCGATTTCTCATTTTAACACCAGTGAGAAGCTCAAATGGAGAACTCTTTGTGCTTCTGCTCTTAGTGCTGTTTAAGATCCTTTGTACATCTCCAACATATTTGTACCACTTGGTTGGATCATCTATGGATAATTTGGACAGGACTGGAATCAGAATGAGATGAATCCTTTCTATTTGTCCATTTCCTCTAGGAACGCCTGTAGTTGTAAATATGTGCTGGATCTTCTCTTGACTACAGTAATCTTCAAAGTCTTTAGAGGTAAACACCGTACCTTTATCACTTATAATTCTCAAAGGACTACCGAAAGTTGATTGTTGAAGTTTCAGCTTCTGCAGTGCCTCTTGAGCTGATGTAGACTTTACTGGATAGAGCCACACGAACTTTGTGAATGCATCAACCACGGTTAAGATGTGATTGTAGTTCTTATTTGTTGAAGGTAATGGTCCTATGAAATCGATATGAAAAGTGCTCAAAGGGATACTATCTTTTGGTATGGGATTCAGCAATCCTTCGCTCCTTACCTCGTTTCTCTGTCGCACAAAATACATTCTACACAATTTGAAATAACTTGTTCAATTCATTTTCTAAGGTTAGGAATATAAGAAGTCGGTTTTCAGCAGATCTTCTGTTTTAGACACTTGCGAAAATGTCCCTTGTTTGTGGATACTACGTATGATTTCTAGCTCTAATGCTTCGGGTAACGACAAGTAACTCACGACCACTGTCGAACTTGTATAATACTAGCATTTTTCCACTAGAAAATTTTTCTTTAGTCCTTGCTCGACTAAGGATTTTAGCAACTGGAGACACTCATCACTTCTTTGCACAGCTGCAATTTTGGCTGTAACTTCTCCCTGAGAACAAGTAACCATCATAACTGCGTTCCTACTTAATGAATCCACATGCTTCATTTGTTGCCCAGATCTGTGAACAATTTCATAGTCAAATTCTTCTAGAAGTAGCGCCCATCTCGGAGTAGTTTAGGAGTCATATCTTTCTTAAACATGGTCTTCTGGAAAGCTTCGCAATCCGTAACTATCCTGACCTTAGATCCTAAAAGGTAATTCCTGAATTTCTTTAGAGCTTCTACTATAGCTAAAACTTCAAGCTCATAACTAGATAGTTTCTCTTGTTGGAGACTCGTTTTTTTACTCATGAAGTAAATGGGGTGTAACTGTCCATCATCTGACTTTTGTAGCAATACAGCGCCGAAACCATGACTGCTTGCGTCTGTATGCAATTCTAATGGTGCTCCTTGTTTAAAAATATGAAGAACCGGACTTGTGGATAAAAGTTCTTTCAATTTATTAAATGCATCTTTTTGCTCAGGCCCAAATTTGAATTCTGCTCCGTTACAAAGAAGATCACTTAGTGGTTTCGCTATTTTTGAATAGTTGGCAATAAATTTCCTAAAATACCCAGTAAGGCCCAAGAAACTTTGAATCTGCTTAAGTTTTTTGGGTTCCGGGAAATTTTGAACAGCCCTGGTTTTTTCAGTAGAGGGGCGGAATTGTCTACCATCCTCAATAACATACCCGAGAAATTCTATTTTTCTTTTCAAAAATTGGTCATTTCTTAAAATTAATCTCCAAACCATATTCTTTGGCTACTTCTAAAACGCGTTTCAACTTTTCTAAACCTTCGTTCTCGTTTCGTGCTGGAAATAATAAAATCGTCCATGTAAGTAACACCGAATTAAATCAGTGTCATCCCGAATTAAATCTCTAAACACATTATAAATAAATCTTTGTAAACACAATAGGGGAACGTGCACAAACCAAAAGGTGCTTTTAAAAATTCGTACAAGCCTGCATGAGTAATAAATGCCAAATATTTAGTGCAGTTTTCCTCAACTGGAACATGAAAAAAACCATTCTTTAAGTCTAACGTCGAAAGAACCTTTGCTTCACCCAAACGATCTAAAACTTCTTCTACTTGTGCCATAAGGAAAGAATCCTTAACTATTTTTGATTTAACTGCCTGAAGTCAACACAGATTTGTGTCTTGCCCGATTTTTTCCTACACAAAACAATTGGCGAAGCATATTCTGAACACGACGGCTTTATAATCCCATCCTTTAACCATTCATCTATTTGATTATCAACAATTTTTTGGTCAGCAAAAGGAATTCTCCTCGAACGCTGAGAAACTGGAATATCATCTTTTAATATTACTTTCATTTTTAAATATGTACTGCGCGGCTTTTCTAACGGTTTATACTTATTAATAAGAGTGGAAACAGTATTGCATAATCCTTCATCTTTAATATGCCATAAATCTGTTTCGCTGTCTGCCTCAATGGCTGCAGAAATAAAAGACAAAAAATTCCTTTCCGAAGAGATGGAATCATTTTCATATTGCGTAATCATCACCATCAGATCATTTTTAGACAGGAAGGGGGGGGAAATATAGTCTGTTATCAATTCATCAATCATCGCTGCTTCTATCTCTTTTTGTTTTTTGCTTTCGCATAAAGAAAAAATAAACTTAGCCGTTTCCGCTTTAACCACGTGACCAAACAAACTTTTGAGTTCTATATATCCACTTGATAATTTATTCGGAAAAAGGGATTTCTTTACAACTATCAATTCACTTCCAGAATCTATTAAACATTTTACTTTCTTACCATCAATCAACAGTTCAATAAATTCTAACTTATTTCTAGCTGCATTATCTGATTCAATCTCTAACCCAGATACCTTTTTTGGAGACAAATTCTCCTCCTTTCCTAACCGTTTGGGACAATTTCTCGCAAAGTGAAATAATTCCCCTTTACTCCCACAAACATAGCAAATACGATCTGGTTTACTACTATTCTGATTATTATGATTTACAAGCTTCCCTGAACCTTTGAGATTGTTCTGAGCTTTTCTAAGATTGTTTTTGGAAAAATTAAGCTTTTTATTTTCTGGAGTTTCGATTCGTGTGTTACTGGTATCAACTAAAGATTTACCCCTGGATGAATAAAATAAATCACATTCTCTTCCCAACTGATTTGGTTGGAACCAACTTTGGCCCTCCCGAACACTAATATGTTCCTTTGTTTTAGAATCAAGAGTTTCATACAACTTATCAGATACAATGAGATCACACAATATCTTAGTCATCTACCTCTCTTAACTTGCAATAATAATTGAAAGTTGCACTGAGTCGAGACGCGAACTGAACATGCGATTCAGATGAATGTCTCTGCGCATTTTTAAAATTGTTCAAACATTCACGCGGTGTCAGCTGAAATTCTTTCAAGATTAGAGTTTTTAATTTATCATAATCCGCGATTTCTTGTTCAGAAACATACGTTAGAACATTATTACATTTATCACCTAATATATTACTCAACACTTCTGATTTTAACTCCACTGGTACACTTTTAGTAGTAAAAGCTTTCTCAGTGACTGAAAAAACAAATGCATAGCTTCCGGTTTCTGAGGTACAGCTATAGTTAGTGTTTTGACGCTTTTAATAATATCTTCAACACTAGTCTGCACGTTTCTTCTATCACTCGATAATGATTGTGATTTTAAACTTTCTAACTCAATCTGCTTCTCAATTTGAGCTAATTTAAGACGTTCGATCTCTAACAGATAGTGTTCATCACTTGTTTTAGGCGTCCGATCCTCTGCGATCGACTTGATGCCACCGCGAACAAATTCAACGTTCGTTTTGAAAACATCAGAATTTTCGATAATTTTTCTAATGTCTAATTTTTTAGCATTTTCTGGAACAGTCTGTCCAATTTGTTCCGCAATTACTATTAAATCACTTTTCTTTAAATTATTTAGGAAACTCATTTTAAAAACGAAACAAAAGTATTACTATCTTCAAGAAAGAAATAAAGCAAAGTTTTCACAGTACCTTCTCTAAAGTATCCAAGTATGAAGTATCCAAATATCCCGGTCGAGCCCCCAGATTTTCTGTAGTGGGGGAGTTGAAGATGCTAAATAACAATTCCAACGTTGTTTTCCACACCACAGAACATTTAATAAAGATAACCAGAAAAGGTACAAATTAGATTAAATACAAGTGCCGTTTGATACAAAGAGGATTCTGTATAGTTTTACCAGTCTTATCACATAACCGATTAGTGCCTACTCGCACTTGCTGATGTATTAAACAGTTCAATTTACCACCTTTGCGTGGAAAACTACAGTTCCTTATTCTACACCTTCACGTGTAGACATACATCTCACCACCTTCGTGTGGGATAGCAGAAGAGTCTCTGTCATACTCCTCTTTCACCTCGCTGCTGCGCATCGGTGAGGCCCTCTGGTGGTTGTGTCGCACTTACGGATACTACATATATATATATATATAGGTATATATATTGTAATTAAGAAAATAAACCACTTTACCAAGACATTAAAAAATAAATCTTAGAAATTGGATGCAGTCTGAAAAATTACAGGTTTTGGAAACTTTAAACAAAGCAAAATAATGAAAAAACTAAAATTTTGAAAATGAGTTTTAAGCTGAAAGTAAAGAAATGAATATGCAAAATGCTGAAATGTTGAAAGTAAATTGATGCAATAATTTTGAACCATTTTAAACCCTAGTGGTTAAAAGTTTAATTTTTTTCCATTCATTCACTTCATAAAATCTAATAGTGTGTTTGTTCTGCTTGGTAGTCAAAATCTACCTTGAAATTTAATTATAATTTAGAGTGCTTTTAAAAATCAAAAATATTACTTCTATGCATGTCAATCATTAAATTCAAAACGAAAGAAACTCATATATACTAAGTAAATTAGTGTATAAAATAATTGTAATTAGAAATGGGCAATGAGAATGCCAGCCTAAAATATTATTTTCTTAATTGCATTATTTATTGAATCTTAAGTCCCAACCACATTATGTTTCAGTTACGAGGGATTTGACGTCGAAAGGGACAGTTCTCTGAAACCGTACATTTCCAATAAACCCACATAGATAGGTTACCATTTTCACTTAGTATGAAGACTTGAATGCCAAACGGTAATCGATTATTGCTCAGATTGGGATAATTTGATCCTTCAGAAGCAGAACTGATTAGTTGATGTCTACACGGAACAGAGCTGCAGATGAAACATTTTCGGCAAGGTTTCAAAAAATCCTGTGTAGCCGGTAGATCATTTCGCTTCCAGCAGGGCTCTTTTTTTCTAGGAATCCTCCCGTTTAAACCAGTGCTACCAGAATCTCGTTTCTCATAAAAGTCCCGTCAAGCAGGGATCATCGATAGATGTGATAACCTCTTTCATTGCTTTAGTGCTTGGTTTTAGTTTTGAATGTTCTAATTTTCCTCTTCAATTCCAAATTTAAATTTTATGAATGTATGTATATGTGTGTAATCAGATGACTTCTGGTAAGCTGCAACAGATTGATGATGGTTCTCTGCGTTATATCTTGGGAGACTTTACTGCCTAGTTAGAAGGATGACTTTTGAAGAAACGACTTGTAGACAGACTTTGCCAAATTAAATATAACTTTTATTAGTGGATACAAACTAATTATCAAAAAGATATTTTTCATCACACATGAACATAGGTGCAATATACACTCCACAATTTTATATAGAGTATAACATTTTAGATACGGCATAATTATTAGCACGGCAAAGCAAACAGAGTGAAGTTTTTCTTGACTACAGCAGAGTTGAAGCTAAAAAGTGCGCAGTTATCCAATATAGAGGCTCACCAAGAGAAGGTTTTGATTTAGGTTAGAAAGGTTTCAGTTTTTGAAACTGTGAGTTTAAGTTCTGAATTAGTTATGTTATCAATGCTATGCAAGCCATGCAAGATGGACTGATGTAGAAATGAGACAGTCCAAAAAAGTTATGATTTTTAGAATACAGGTGGGGAATTATGGGATTACCACTAGTTTAAATTATAATTTTGAGGTACATAATTTTTATCTTGTATGCAAGTCATTACACACGCACACATATATATATGATTTGCAAAGGAAAAGAAGTGAAAAATGATGAATTTTAAATTTGGCAGGTAAATGCCAAAAGTAGTAGTTGCATTAAAGAGGCTAGCAGTTGTGCCAATTTAATATTTATTCCTCAGAAGCATATTTTTAATATGAATTATATATCATAATGGGCACAGTTTGTGAACTCATTAATAAAAAGTTTATTTCCAAATTAAAATCAGTAACTGAAGCCTTTACGCAAGTGTCTGCATAATTAACATAATGCAAGAATCATATGACAACAGATTAATTTTTAAATGATGCAATTTATAATTTTTAAGACAAAAAGGGGAAATATCCAAAATTAAAATAGAAATTTAGGAAATTATTTCAAATTAAAATTTTGTTTTATATACTTTTTTTATCTTACCCCCATGCGTACATACACATATAGATGTATATATAATATTAAATTAAATATTTAAGAAATCAAACAACTAAGCTTAATTTTCCTAAATTTTTCTCCCAATGCATTTTAATTTTTGCAGCATACCACATGAGATGTTTGGAGGAAGGCAAGGAGTTGTGAATTTTTGTCATGGATCAGCAGGTTCAGTTGCTCGTGCAAAAGATGGTAGTTTAAAAGTTGTAAGTATTTTTCTTATAATTTTTAACTTTATCATCCTATTAATGATATGACTTAATGCAGATAACAAAAGGTTTGGTGTCAGTAAATAGCTTAATTTATATTAATGAGTCAGAGTTCAGCTTGAACACTAACTTCTAGTGTGCTCATGTCTGAAGGGAACGAGGAATTTGAAATATTTATGCTAGTATTGTAAAATTTTATCATTATGCCAGTAAAGATATGGTATAGAGAGATATATTAACTGCTCATAAACCCCTTGCATGGGAAACTGAACTCATTACATAAACTGAGTTGAAACTGTGAGGTTAGGATGTTTAGGAATTAACCCTTTCCGGCATGCTACCTTTTAAAGTTGGAGTTTTGATGTAGGCAGTCTAATTAGGCTTAGATTAGTAAAATTTTGTAAAGATAGCACTTATCGTTTTAATTCTGTGTGCCCAAAGTGGCACATTGATTGATTAGAGCTTCGAAAAGAGTGCTGAAACGAGCATTGTTGTCAATGAACTGACCGATGAGATGTGGAGAAACAAAGAATACAGACTCTCAGTTGTCCTAGATTATCGGTGAGCCCAGTCTGGGCACACCTAGGGTTCGCCATTTGATTTTAGGTAAGATTTCAAGGTAAAAATTTAATATGGAATAAGAAGATTAGCATACAGCCAAAAAAATAACATCAAAATTTCTTTTCAAACAATTCCTTTTATACCCTAAAAAAAACCTGGAAGATTTCTTTGAAAAATGAGGGTCTTAAAAAACTAAACATGGCTAAAATATATAGACTGGTTTGTGTTGAGCTACCATCTATTATAAATAAAGAAGGTTTGGAGTAATCTATAGTAACCTATAAATCCTTTTTCATTCAATTTTTCTGTGCGTACAGAAGGAAATTTTTAGGTGTGTCCAGACCGGACACACTGTGCTGCAAAGGCTTAACAGTCTTTCCTGCATGCCCTCACTTCATGAAACGAATGTGGATTGCCAACTGATTAGTGATGCATAAAGCTATAGAGAGGTGTACTTGGTTTTGCTATTATGGAGATGGTGCTTACATGTAGAGCTAAATATATGAAAATATTCTTGGAAGTGAGAACAACTAGAAAAAAAAATGACTGTAAATTTTCAGTTTAACACAAAAGGAAAAAAAAAAAAAAAATCTTGAGATGCACTAAGAAGATCCAATTTAACCACTAAATGAAGAAGTAAAACTCAGGAACTCGCGTTTTGAGTAACAATTTTAATTTCTGGTAAAAAATTCTTGTGAGATATAGTGATCACATATCTCATTAAATTAAAAAAAATGCATTAAATAGTTTCCATTATTTGACTATTTAAATTTGGTATGTAATTTTTAGATTATGAAATTATATATTCAATATACCATTTAAATTCAGTTCAGTTTCATTATAGCCAAATAGTTTTGGAAAACAAAATATTTTCCAAATTTATGTGCATAATTAAGTGAAATGTAGCATGTCAAATAAACTTGTGCACTAATATTCTGTATATAAAGAAGTTCACTTCTGTGTTATTTTCTAAAGCATGTAGATGTACTTACTGCAAACTAAACTTAAAATCAGTGTTTTATGTATTATTAAATATATGTTTTAGTATTGGTTTGTAAGAATGGCATTGAACTAATAGATTAATGTAGAATGAACTACAATAACTAAATGTAGGTTGTTCATTAAGATCTTTATTTATACAGTCAAAAGTTGTTAATTCGGACACCCATAATCCGGAATGATCTATAATCTGGATCTCAAAGCTACAAACTTTCTGCGCATGCGCGCAAGACCTTTACATCTGCAAATATGCTTGTGTGCGTGCGCAAAATAAGTTTATGAGTGCACGTTTAATGTATAACGGATGGTATAAGCTAAGCTAAAATTATCTAATTATCTATTTCTGTTAATGTTGCAGATTGCGTTGTTCCTTAATCTTCGAATTGGATCCGGCTTATTTTTTTTTGCAGACTGTTAGAGCAATTTTTTAAAAGTAAGCTTGAACTTTCGATTATGTCAAATAGAATTTCTGATATATATTTACTAATATGTAAAGGATCTACAAAGCGAAAGTATATTTCGAAGTTCATTAAACAAAAAGTGGAATTGCTGCAAAAAATGGATAAAGGCATATCCTTTGTTTATCTAAACTTTGTTTATCTTTAACGCAGCGGGCACGCAATGAATTGGAAGTTGATCTGTCAGCACTATCCTTATCTTCAGGGCAGATGTTTTTATTTTATTTGGCTTATAATTCCTTACTAAATGTAGTATTTCATCTCGATGTACTCCGTCTTTGATATGATTTAAATCAAATTCCTCGTCATTATAATTCGCTTCCGATAGCGAAGAAAGTGACAGAGGTTATTGAAAACGAAAAAATTTCGATTGACAAATTAGTCGGTATTCTCGACACAGCAATTATAGGACGTGAACAGCGGAACTTTGTAACTGAACAAGAAATTATGTCTGTTTATAGAATTAAAGAGAATGTATTATCACATAAAAAACGAAGCAACTTAAACAACTTACATTGAAAGAAATGTTTAATAAAGTAAACAAATAAATATTAAGCTTTTTTTTTTTTTTTTGTAAATTTTGATACCCTTTAGATCATAATTGTTCTTTATTTCATAAATTACGGTTTCATATTTTTAGTTTTATAATTTCTGCATGCCATCTTACGAGATTTAAACTGATGATCTATAATCCGGAAAAATCGATAACCTGAATTACCGAAGTCCCGACGAGTCCGGATTAATGACTTTTGACTGTACTAAGTAGATAAACCTATACATACATGTAATGATCGAATGGTTTTATATAAACTATATGGAATTTTTTTATAAAAATATACACACATATAATTGTTTTACTGATAAATTAGCTTGTGAATTACTTTTCTTACAAAAATAAATCTCCTCAACATCACATTTTTACTTATTTTATCAGATATCGATATATTTGTAACAACTAGCTACTTATTTGTCTTTTGAATGTGAAGGATGCATTTAATTTTGCAGTATAATTTTGATAAAATTGTTTGCTTTCTTCCACAATTTGCAATTCTCCAGATTCACTATTAATCTTTAATTGATTGTGTGCTGTAATAATTCATACTACATTATTGTAAAAAAATATAAAATTTTTTTAGTAGATGCTTTTTAAAATCTGCTATTCTTTTTAATCTTTGAAATATGTTCATATTAAGTATTACTGTTATTACAGTTCTTATAGCTCCTTTTTAGTAGATTCTTATTTAAATTGTGTTAATGCTAATGTAATTTCTAACATTTTAATAAAAATATAATTTCAGACTTTACCTGTATCCTGACAACACTGATGTTTTCTCTAATACCTAAAGTATCCAAGACTTGCTTTGTTTAGAATTTTATCAACAGTTATGAAATGCCAGTTTTTGCGTGCTTCAAATATGAATTGTTACTATATTGGCTTGCCATATTATAGCTTCAGTATGCATTCTTGCAAAGATAGCATATAAGTAGATATTTTCTAGTCTCCTAAGAAATACTTCAGATATTGGTTCATGACTTTTCTGATATTGACCATAGAAAATTAAAAAATGCATTTTGTACATAACCAGAAGGCATATTACATAACTAAACCACATAATTCAATGTAAAATATCTATATTAATAATTTGCATATTTATGAAAAGTGCCATACATGAGTTACATGCTAAAGCACAATTTGTCAATCTCTAAAAGGCCAGAGATATTTAGAGCCATATTTTTTTAATGACAAAAAGAAATTTGTTTTTGTTGAGCATTTCAATGGTTGAAATTTGTTATAAGTTCATTTAAGAGTTCTGTAAAATATGTATTTTTATATTGTATGTTCAAAATATTTTTATATTGTACTACTCATAATTTACTTAATTTTTTAAACCTTTTTGAAGACTGAGTTGATGGCATGAACTGTGTTAAGTCCAAAATGTATGAATGAATTGATATATTTTATGAGAGTTGCATTTGCCATATTTTATTATAAATATTTTATATCTGAATTGTAAAGGTTAAATATGAAATTTTTTTTGTGAAATTTATTGGAATTCTTCATCAGAAATGAAAAGCACCATTCATCTTTCTGAATTTTCTTATTTGAGAGAATAAGTTACTTAAATGTCTCCTGCTTTCATGTTTTAAATACCTGCATTTTTTCTTGTTTTTATCTTTCAATGCCGATAATGTAATTTTTTTCTTTTCCTTTATGACAACTTAATATGCTTTTAGTGAATTTTAAAATACACAACCATGTAAATATTTTAAAACATTATTTAGTATAATTTAAGAAAATTATTTTCATTAAATATTACATCAGACATGTGCATATTTTATAACTGAGGAACTCAAAATTCTCCATTCTGTTCTATTTTATCCAAAGCATATAGCATTTTCTTGCATAAAGTAGATTACATACTAAAATTTGTAACTCTAAATTATAGAGATATTTTAGATTCTGTCTATTGTAATTAATTCAACTGCCAAATCTGCATTGTTAATTCTCATTTCACATAATTTTTTAAATTTTCAACAACATTAAGTCATTGCTGAATATGCTTAATTGAAAATCATATTTGAACATATTTTATAAAGGCAATATATATAATATATATATATAAATGGAAAAAATAGGAATGATTTAGCATGTTTTGTATATTTTAAATCATTTGAATTTAAAAATGTTTTAATTTTGTAGTATATTGAAGGTATTAGCTAATAGAAAAATGTGTCATTTAAGAGCAGTCTTCGGGAAAGGAGGAAAAAAAAATATGTGACAGTTTAAGTTTAAATAAATTCACAGGACTTTGACCAATGTTGCATTTAACTAGACATGTGTTTACTTAATATGTTTTCTTAAAATCTTGTACTTAATATGTAATTTGCAAAGAAAACTGCCATGTGATATTTTTTGATTTTAAGAAAATAAAAGAATTTATTTGCCTGAACTTTTTGATGTTCATAACAAATATAAACACCTAACAATTATAATCAACATTAATGAGAAAATAGAGCAAAAAAGTTGCTTCCTTTAGGATTTTACATATGTATATTACATTGAAAAATGAAAATTGATTAATTTTGAGACTGACCAACTGAAATATGTGCTTTCTATTTTTTTAAAAAATTTCTTTCATTTATAATACTTAAAACACCAAAGTCATTTGCAAGTATGTGAGTTCTTTCCACATATTAGAACTATGATTTATTATGAATTTAAAGTAATATATTTGAATACCAGTGCATGTGATAAAATGTCATGTATATTTCAATGGTTTTTCTAAATTGAAGAGTCCTTATCTTGAATTTGGAGCCATTACCATCTGTTACTTAACACTTTAAAAGGATGTTAAACGTATTCAAATTTAAAATATTGTAAAGTTTAGGAAAGTACAAATATATGTAATACAGTGAGAGTTTCTATATGTATATATTACATAGTGAAACTAAGGAAAGCTATGCAATTTAGCACAATGGTGCCAGAAATTTTTGAATGAAACTAGCAAGAGAAGAAATGAAAAGTTGCAAGAAGTAGCATGACATCAGAGATCACATGATTCGTGACATCATGGGTACATGAGTTCACATGATCTCTGATGTCATTACAAAGTTTCCAGTTTGCTATAAGTTACAAACAGTAATTTATGTTAGTTTTGACAACAATATTGCTAGTTTCCATTGTTTAAGTCTCCAGTCTCCTTTTCTTCTTTTAATTAATAATCAGTTAATTTGTTCACATCTATTGCTAAATGTTTTTCCAAGCTTGGACTGTTATACCAAAATTCTTTGGAATTGGTGGTTTATTTTTTTAACTGCCCTCAGTTCACATTTGCATAGCTTGAATAGGCTTTTATATTATCTATTTTCAAACATGGGAATTTTAAGCAAAGTATTCTGAAAGCCTTCTCATAATTTATCGCCTTATTAATTTTTATAATTTATATGATGCGACTCAAACTTTGAAATCCTATCCCTAGATTACCAAGGTACTAAAGTTATGAATTAAACACAGTAAAACACCAGCAACTTGTACTGAAAAGGAGTGTACATGGAGTACAATTGCAGCTTTGCCAACTGCCAATTTTTATTCAAATAAATTATTTTTATTATAAATTAATTTCAATACATTATATTAATGTACATATATTTTCTGATGCATTAAAATTTTTTAAGGTAGCAAAAAACAGCTCAAGAAAATTAAGTAAAGCATTCGCAACTGACTTCGCAAAACTGCGTGGACATAAATTTTATTTACCAGACAGATCAGAAAATAATATTTCAAGTGAAGTTAATGCCAAATTTATAACGTAATTAATAAGTTTTTCAAAAAAAGGGGGGGTGGTGGTGGAAGGGGAGTCTCAATTTTTTTACATGTAAGTCTGTAATTTTTAATTTGACTTTAGAAAGTGCTTCTTCTGTAATGTCTTGTAATCTGTATGGAATATAAAACCCTCTTTTAAAACAAGAATGACATAAATAAATTAATAATAATACACTTTTCATTAGGTACAGTGTTGTGGTTTTGCAGCACTAGGGAAGTAATCTTTCTTCAAATGCCATGTGATCTTGCCTTGAAATGCTCTTTCCAAACACGGTATTTTGTATGTAATATGTTGAGTAATTTTCTTTGTTTACTCTCATATGCAAAGAATATGTGTATGAAGTATAGAGATGGAAAATCCAAAAACTTGCTAAAAATTTTGAATCAAAAGCCAATATTTTTTATTTAAGCCATATTTTTATGCAATTTTTTTTATGCAGAAGATACCTATTGTACATTTTAATGTTGCAACTTTCATTTCAGCTTTCTCCAATGTCCAATATTTATTAATATCTGAAAATATCTTCCCAGTCAAATATTAGTACAGCATCAATCTAGTTGCACACCATTGGCTAAAAAATATGCAAACTCAACCATTTAGATTTTTTTAAATTGATGTTACATGTCTGATTATTTAAATATGACAAAGCATAAGAGGCTATCAACATGGCACAATTTCTGTTCAAAATCAGCTGAAGATCTCAATTCACTTCTTATTAGTATTAAATTCAGTTATGTACTTTCCCTTTGGTATGCAGAATGTTTAAGGCCCACCAACAGATAAGAGATACAGTCACTAAACACTGATAGTTTGGCCTGCATTTGATTCCAGCCTATCGAGCTGGCTACATGGGTGTTTTCTCCATGTGTAATGTTGATACAAGCCAGTTCCTTTTAAAAAGTCTCCCATGAAGGCATCTCTTTCCTTAGACAGATAGCGTATAAGCGCTGTGCCATAATAAACTAAACAGTGTTTTAAATTAAACCTCGTGAGAAAAAGTAAATGTTACAATTTTTATTCAATTAAAAACACTTGAAATGTTTTTCCTGATTTTGAGGGATGTGATTTAACTAAAACATAGCAAAATAACTTATAAACAAATCAAATGAATTATATTTTTAATATATGCAATTTTATGTGTATAATAATTTAGGATGCAAGAGAGAAGACAACCATGGTCTGTGGTTGTAGATGGTCCTGAAATGCAAAATGCATAACTGTGTATAGAAAGACAAGACTTGTGGACAAATGTAGCACTTGATTCAATACATTTTATTCTTGGAAAAGAGAATTCTTAAAATGCATGTTCAGATTCACTAATTATTAGGGGCACTATCTGCACCCAAATTTCATTTTTTTTTTAAAGTTTACAACATCTTGAAACATACGATGAATGATGGGCAAAGTGAGCCACTACAAGTTAGCTGGAGGCAAGCATACAAAAAAGTGCAACGCATTCATAAAAATGCCTGGGAAGTGTCGAAAGGGTTTGGTTTCAAAAAAAGTTTGATTCAATTGAAATCTTTTTCACCGATTGGTTGAAACGTACCTGCACTGAAATGCTATGCATGATCGTATGATACAGATCAATTTGAAATGATGCAATATAGGTTGATGTATTATAAATAGCTACATTACTATTTTTGGCACAGAAAGAAGAAATACTCAAATTAAAATGAAGAATGAAAGGGGATTTTGCCAGTTAAAATAAGTTTGCCTTCCCTTTTTTTTTTTTTACATACATAAGATGTCCTATCAAAACCACCCACACTTTACATAGTCACTTGGAATACATAAAAAATGTCCAAAGAACTGTACCTGTTCAACGCATAGTTTTTGAGATCATTGCAAAAGACTTATGACACCATATCCAGTGCCCCTTTGCCAGACAGATGCCATACACTTATAAATATACATGACTTCTCTGAGATTTGAGCTCAAGCACTTTAGTTTTAGTATGGCAGTCACCACCACTACACTATCCAGATATACTAAATACAAGAAAATTCCAGATAGTTGAGCATATAAGAAGTGTAGTTTAGGTTACGAAGGCTAAATGAATAGGGAAAAGAAAAGTCTCAGTCTAAAATTATAAAAAGTCATCTTTTTTGTTATCAGCTTGAATATTAAAAGCCTATGATTAATATGCACAACTTTAAAAAAAAGTGTCATTTAAACATTAACCCTTTGCGCTGGAGGCGCTTTTCTGTCCGGTGAACCAGCAACTTGAGAGTAATCAGCCACTCCACTTGTATCATGAGTTCCTTATTGTTAACTTAAAATAATTTTAGACACAATAAAACACTTTAAACTCGTATATTTTAATATTATACATATTTTTTTAACTTAATGAAACATATGTATTAAACATGACATTCTAAAATTTTTCTTTGTATGATATTTTACAAAACAATCTCCAATATGCATCCTTGGCTTGTCGGGGTATGTGTCACAGTAGTATACAGTTTGTCGCCTTTGGGACATTCTTTGGGAGCAAATCTTGCAATCTTTTTTTTTTTGCCCCATTAAAATAATATGCAGCTTCCCATTTAGTCGGATTGCTTCAGAAATGCTGTGTGAAGTAGAAGCTGTGCTTTGTCGAAAGTCTCCTCTCACTTGATCCACTAAAGTTTTCAAATATTGTAGGTGACTAAGCGGCTGTTCGTTTCTTTGCTTCTTTACCGATTTATAAAGAATGTATGAATTGATGGAGCAGATCTCCAAACCCCCAAAAAATAGTTTTCGCCACCACTTTACGGATTTTCTTAAAAAAACAATATGTCGAAGCCAGTTGGTCAGCTCAATCAACACCGCTGTAATTTACAATAACATTGGGTTTTTTATAACAACTTCAATACCGGCTCGTAGAGTTCTTCTTACAGGAGTTATTCCCGCATTATTCCAAGTAGTCAAAGCCGTCACAATCCTCTTGTCCTTCCACGCAAGAACCAAAATATTACCTTTACGATATGCACATGTGGTTCGATTCTCAAATTTTGGCTTTCGTATTTCACATGGCAGGTGCTTTCTATTTGTCATGATCGTCCCAGTTAAGTGGCACTTTTGTTTGCGTAATTCTTCTGCCAATATGTAACTCGTATAATAACGGTCCGTGAACATGTGGTGTCCCTGAACACCGGGAATTTTATCCTGTATCATTTTGTATAGATGTAGCGGTATTCTGGTTGATACCGGTAGATCGGGTCTTATCAAAGTCTCTGTTGTTAGAGATCCATAATACGGCAGAATAGCACAAATGAAGCCGGTATTTGAATCTGCGAGCGTATAAACCCGAATACCCCATTTTGTAGGTTTCATTGGATTGTACGTAATGAATGATATGCGGCCTTTGAATTTGACAGTCGACTCATCCACACAAATCTGCTCTCCGGGTACAAAATAATTCAAGAACCTTTCATTTATATACTCGAGGAAACCAGATACTAACTGCAAACGGGTTCTAGGGTTTGTGTTTTCTGAGGGTATTGTCTCCAAAATATTTGACAAAATCGGTCTCTCGTAAACGTGTCTGAGTAAAACGGAATATAACTAGTATCATTTTTTGACCAGTATTCTTGTATGTTTGCCAGTGGCATTGTCCCCATATTTATGATTGCCCCAATAAA